GGATGAAACCCTTAATGACTGAAGTGAAATAAAATTCTGGTTAGCAATCAAACCTCGTAGTTCAGTTGGTAGAGCACCGGGGCCGGTAACCCAGTGGTCACTGGTTTGAATCCGGTAGCGGTCCAGATTTTCATCGCACCTTCAATCATCACCCAGTACAAACAATACATAGCTAAAGAATAGTGCAAAAAACTTTGATTTGAACATTCCATGACATATATTATTTGCATAAACTTTACTGCGATATCTTCGTGGTAGAGTGTACAGTTTGCCTATAGAATATATATACAATATATGATGCAAATTCAGGAATAAGTGGAAGAAATTTTATTCCATAGAGTAGGTAACAAGTCTATAAAAAGTGCACACAAGATGTGTACTCTTTCATCTATAATTTTCAAAAGGCAGAAGTTTATTCTCACGAAACTGTCATGAGAGCCATCTAGTTTAACTGTATGCGTATGTATTGATTGGTCACGGGAGTGTAACCAATTTCATGTTGTCTAGTTCAGAGTGTAGACCAAATTCTATCGATCGTATTTGCAATGTGGCAACCAGGCTAGGAAGCTCAGCATCACAGTGCACATTAGCAGGTGTTAGTTGGTTGGAGGCAATCGGCAGGAAGCCGTGCTCGACCTAGGTTTCGTGCATTTTCTCATTCGTCAGCAAGGTGCATTTGCAACATCGACGAAACTAATGTCCCGCCTGAGATTCCAACCCGCGTCATCCACTATTGTAGTCAGCGACTTTACCACTGAGTTATTCCGTGACCAATCAATACATATAAGCCAGTCCTACAGGAGGTCAAACGCCGCCTGAATAGCTCACTGGTAAAGTCGCTGACTACAACACTGGATGAGGCGGGTTCGAATCTCAGGTGGAACATTAGTTCCGTCGAGGTTGCGGACACGCCTTGCTGACGAGTGCCTCCAATCAACTAACATTGAACATAATCTAGTAATTTCTAGTTAGATGAAGGCAATTAGCGGAAAATCTTGCTTCACCTAAATTTCGAAGCTGGTTGGTATCACTTTTCACTAAGGTGTATATCTGTAACTTGTACGGAACTGATCTCTGACCTGAAATTCAAACCCGTATCATTCAGAATGTGCTCGAACACTTTAAACTGCAGTTGAATCCTGAATATATCTAGACAACTGAAATATGAATGAAATAGGTTAACATGTACTCATTGGTTGTTTGGACAATAAGTCAAACCTTTCCACCTCCCCCCCTTACCCCCGCCCCAGAAAGGATAAATTAGGCTGTTATGAAAATTAAAATTAATCACACTACATACACAAAGAAAACAAAAGATATTACATGCATAATTATGATGTCACAGAGAATTGAATGATTAATGAACAGTTAATAAACAAAATAATGATTTATACTGGGTAATGATTGAAGATGAAATGAAAATTTGGACTGCGTAGGGATTCGAACCAGTGTCCATCAGATTTCCGACCTGATGTTGAGCTATAAGGTTCAATTGCTGACTACTTGAATTACAAGGTGAAGTTTTTCTCAACTACCGTATGAATTTATGATGCGTTACTACTGAACTGAAATAAAACAATTCCGTTCAATCATAGTACGTTTTTTGTAGATTAAAATAAAAGTAATAGTCGTAATAATAATAATAACAAGCACACAACAATCACTCTGTTATTTTGTTTGTTTAACCTAATCATGATAATAACGACAGGTCAGGTCAACTAAATAAATAGTGTTATAATTAACCGTATATTTCTAATTTGTAAAATCTGTCAAAGACTAAATCGTGAAAACAAGTTTCCACCAATTAGGTGACGTGAATTTAAACCAGGCTATATACTAACCATAACTACTGATTGAAGACTCTACATACTCTACATACCACAGTATATGGAAATAACATGTTCAAATCTCAAAAAAGGCTATATATGTGACCAGCCTCAAATAGAGCATTTTGAGCTTACGCAATAGCGCTTCTTTATCTGGTACCTTAAGAAGAAATAGTCTTCTATGGTACGAACATCCGGGGAGTGTCAACGGATTATCAGAACTCTGCCACCATTCATGTTTCCCATATATATATATATATATATATATATATATATATATATATATATATATATATATATATATATATAGAGAGAGAGAGAGAGAGAGAGAGAGAGAGAGAGAGAGTCAACGTAGAACCTCGCACACAACTGCATCACTTCAAGTTGTCACATTTCACAGCAGTCTACAAAGAATAAATGAACAGAAAAAAACTGATATCAAAGCATAAAACGTATTGTGAGAGAATGAATATTCTGAAGGAAAAGGTTAGTGCAAATACTCAAGCCTAAGAAGATGTCTCTCCGCTGCTACTATGCTTTTATTATATACCAACCACACATCATCATTATTAATACTAACATAGGACCAGATATTACTGCGTAACGGTCCCACTTGACACACATCATATCAGTACATCAAGTAAAATGACAGTAAGGCGCAAGATGAAGATCAGAAGATTCAGTCAAAAGAAATGTAAGGTACGAAAAGAGAGAAAGGAAGTGTGAGAAAATGGTGAGATTCAGTATAGTGTCATTAAGATGAGGATAATGCATGTATACATATGCACCACTGACAACGGTTCTGAACCATATCACTCAGAGTCAGTCTACAGTCACTCGTTCCCCTTGTTCCGCCGATCCCAATCACCTAGTCTGCATCGCCACACATGACTCAAACCAACAGTCAAACACTTCATACATTGATGCCATGTTTTGGTCTGGCTACCTTAGGCCTTTTTCCGGTCTGAACCTACTTCAGCCAACATTGTGTGACGAGGCGATCGGCGACTTGGCATACGTAACACGTGTCCCAACCATCTCAGTCGATGAGGGTTTACAACCGTGTCAACTGATTTGCCTCTTCTCCCTAAAACTCTACACCTACACCTGACTTCTGCATTACTCACGTGGTAACACCACGGAATATGGCCTACACTACGAAGGCAATGGTGGTCAAACACTTGAAGTTTTCTCATGCCTTCCACCTTCAATGGCCATGTTTCACAGCCATACTGTAGAACAGACGGAACTACTACGCAGTACACGCGACCCTTAATAGACAATCGGATATCACAGAGGAACCACGGGTGGCGTAAGTTGGTAAAAGCCAGTCTAGCCTTTTGTTTCTGTGCAGAGACTTCATCGGCCACTGACCCATCAGGGCAGGGCTGATCCTATTTCCCAGGTAAGTGGAATGGTCAACAAACTCAATCACTACACACTCTGTTGTTAGTCGTGGGATCGCTAGAGACCAGACCTGGAGAAAAAATTTGCATTTGAAAGTTGAGAACCGCATCCCAAACATTCTCAAATCGCTACTCAAAGTGTTCAGAAGACTCTGCATCTTGTCAGAGTCTTCACCTAACAAAACTATGTCATCTGCATATTCTAGGTCTGATGAAAATTATCATGCTATTAGGTCAACGTCTGTGTAATCAGATGACGAGAGGGAAACCTCCATGAGAATATCTATGACAAAATTAAATAAGAAGGGAGAGAGTGGGCATCCTTGACGGACACCACTCGATGAGTACAGCTTACCTGATATCTAACCATAGGCTCCAACATACCCGCAAGTGTTCGAGTAGAGAGCCTTCAATAAGGTGATATATTTACCCGGCACGCCTTTCACTGAGAGACATTGCCATAAGACTTCTCGATCAACGGAGTCAAATGCCGCCTTCAGGTCGAGAGATACAGCTATTGTCAGGCGTCGGTGAGCGTGCCTATGTTCCAGGACCTAGCGCAGTGTGAATACTTGGTCGATACACCCGCGGCCAGGTCTGAAGCCTGCTTGGTTTTCTCGGGCTTGTTGTTCCCGAGCTCCATTCAGGCGTCGAAGAATTATAGGACCTAGAATCTTGGACACTATGTTCGTCAGGCTGATTCCTCTGTGATTATCACAAGAGGACTTCTCGCCTTTCTTGAAGCCTGGAATAATCAGTGATTCAGACCAGTCAGAGGGGATCACATTTGATTCCCATATACTGGTTAACACTTCCGTTAACTTGACTAAGAGCACCTTACCACCATCCTTGTATACCTCAGCAGGTAGCCCGTCTAGTCCTGCCGTCCTTCCTCGTTTCAGGTTACCTACTGCTTTCTCAACTTCTGCTAGTGTTAGGGGGCCTACCTCAATGTTCCATTCAGGATCCGACTGCATAGCGGGCAACGCAATCGTGGCTGGAGGCCAGTTAAACTGTTCCTTGACGTGTTCTGCCTATCGTTCCAGTCATCTCCCCTGCGAGTGAATCGCAGATCCGTCCTTCTCTGCTACGGCCTCTTTAACTGACGAACTGGTTTGTGATTGGTTGTTTCCTTCTATTGCTGTGTCATTGACTGACTGTAAAGATTTTCATGTTGGCTATTCCTCTGCTTGACCTCTCACCTTTCTGTCGTTTATCATCTTTCTTATTGGTTGGTAGATTGGGTCTATAAGTTTAGTCATCATGTCGAATTACGTCATCGATTCATTCTTCCTTGTTAGCTGTCTACAACAGTGTACCACTTTTCACTAGTTTCGGTAGGAACAAGGACCGTTACACAATAGTGTCGAGTCCGGCGTTGATAACTGACTGAATGACTGAGTAACTGTCATGGCTAAGACACACATATCATTTTAAAAAACGATTGAACAACCCAGCTCAGAGAACATAATACAATCATCCACCTGAGCTACAAATATTCTCCATCACTTTTAATTAAGTTAAATGAGTCCGATGACACAACGGGAAATTACAAGGTACCAATCAATGGATAAACTATCCTATTAAGCTCGGAATACATGAATAATTTACGAATTAGAAGCCATTGTAAGGTATAGTCTCCCTAAGCGGAGATCTAAAGCCAACATATATTTTAACAATAGAAAAAATGTTAATTAAAAATAAGGTGTAAAGTTGTAAAAATCAATACTGAGTAATAATTAAATGAAAAAAAAGAAAAGAAAATTACTTTTAGTCCATGTATTACAACTGTATCCTCGAGGACGTAATGTAGCTGTCGAATTCCCTCTATTAACTGTACTGAAGGATGATGCACTAACATCATGAATACGCATTGAACCACCACCAGTAGGAAATAATTCTGATTTAGGCGACAAAGATGTTGACCGTGGTGGTTGTGGTGGCGGCGGCGGCGGCGGTAAAGGTAGAGGAGGAGGAGGAGGAGGTAACAGAGGTGGAAGAGGCAATGCATTAATTAAATCTTGACCTGATACTTTAGTAATTGGAATATTATGTTGTAAAGATGTACTTGACCGAGGTGATCGAAGTGTTGATCCAACTCGATGATCAATTAACAATGGTGGAGCTTGTGAATTCACAGGATATTTAGAATTTTTAAGTGCTTCTGAAAGTTTTAGATGAGTATCTGATCTATCTCCATCATATTTAGTTGCTACTCCTGGAGCCAATTCTCCGACAGGTCGAATGTTAACCTACACAGGAAAAAAAAACAAAATGTATCTTACTTTCCTTTCTCCATAGTCATATCAATAAGTGAAAGCTTATTTACAGTATTATTATTATTATTATTATTATTATTATTATTAGACGATGGCCAATGATACTACTACCTGGCTGCTCAAACCTCAGTGGATAGGACAGGGTTCGAACCCGTGACCCACTAGTTGTCAGTCAACTACCTAAGCCAATAAGCCACAATTCCACATCATATCACTAACAAATGTGACATCTAACAGCGACTTTTTTTAAGAAACTTAAGTAGTCACCATGAAGAGGATGCCTTCGATTGCAAAACGAGCTACAGGTATGCGATCTTGAAGAACGCTTCAATAAGGTTAAAATGCCATCAAAAAAACATTTCCAAAAGATATTATTATCCATCTAGAGGTTTGTGGAGATTTATTAATTGTTTTTAAGTTGGAATTCATCACGGACTGAGATCAGTTGGAGGAACATTGGAAATCAGGGAGCACTGGATAACCAGCTGTTTCGTCTTAGTGCGGGATTCCTCAGTAGTGTGCATCCAGGTTCCACGGCCACCACGATACCACTAAGCCACTGGGTCGAAATCCAATCGTCCACATTCTCTACTTTTGTCAGTTCATGATACAGCATGACATACATCCAATGTCGTCGTTGAGTAACTATTTTCATGTCCAACTTGGTTTGGCCAACTGATCACGACTTCTCAATGGTTTCACCATGTATATAACGCAGAAGTCAGGTGTAGGTGTAGAGTTTTAGGGAGAAGAGGCAAATCAGTTGACACGGTTGTAAACCCTCATCGACTGAGATGGTTGGGACACGTGTTACGTATGCCAAGTCGCCGATCGCCTCGTCACACAATGTTGGCTGAAGTAGGTTCAGACCGGAAAAAGGCCTAAGGTAGCCAGACCAAAACATGGCATCAATGTATGAAGTGTTTGACTGTTGGTTTGAGTCATGTGTGGCGATGCAGACTAGGTGATTGGGATCGGCGGAACAAGGGGAACGAGTGACTGTAGACTGACTCTGAGTGATATGGTTCAGAACCGTTGTCAGTGGTGCATATGTATACATGCATTATCCTCATCTTAATGACACTTTACCGAATCTCACCATTTTCTCATACTTCCTTTCTCTCTTTTCGTACTTTACATTTCTTTTGACTGAATCTTCTGATCTTCATCTTGCGCCTTACTGTCATTTTATTTGATGTACTGATATGATGTGTGTCAAGTGGGACCGTTACGCAGTAATATCTGGTCCTATGTTGATAGATAATGATGATGACAATCTCATTGGAACTCCGGGAATCACTTTTCGAAGCTAGTCGTGCTATATCGTGAAGTAACAGAAGTGTGAAATGTGGTCAATTGGACTCCGACTCAATGGCTCAATGGTGACGTAGTGGACACAGAACCTGGATTCGATCCATATTGATCCGAGATCATAGATGCGCATTGCTTAGCAGTCACATTCTAGGACGAAACAGCTGGTTGTCCAGTGCTCCTAGGTTTTCAATGTTTTCTTAACTGATGTCAGTACATGATGAATTCCAACCTAAGATATTTTTATCGTTTGGAATGGATCTTTGATACAAATTAGTGTTAGTGAATTATGTAGTCAAATGATCATTATATATATGCATCAAAACAAGCAAGAGAACAAATAATCTCGTTTTTGTACTCAAGCGAAGTAAATAGAAATAATTTATTGATACTGTTGGTTTCCCATTGAGTGGTATTGTTCCATCTCTGTTGGCGGATGGGCTCCAATGCAGATGCCTCTATAATACCTAAATATTCAATATGTAACAGTTTACTTGAAGATCTACAGGCGAGATCTAACAAGTTGACAGAAGAGGCAGGGCAGCAAAGACGGGACTTCAAGTGAACATAGAGAAGACAGAGGTGATGAAGATACCCAACCAACAACAACAACAAGCTCCAATCACCATCAACGGAGAAACTTAAAGGAAGTTGTCTCTTCTACATATCTAGGCAGCACCGTTTTAACTACAGGCAACACAGGCACACATGAGGACATCAAAGCAGCCAGGATCGGAAAGACAGCAAGACAGGAGTTCATTAACTTGAAACCGGTATAGAGATCTTCTGCACTCAGCATAAAGTGTAAACAACATCCTGATTTCCAACAAACTACAGACATTCATTAACAATTGCCTACGCTGGCTTGTGACTGAAGATCAGTAGGCCAGAATAATAAGCGACAAGAAACTGTGGCTGGGAACGAACCAACGAAGCAAGAATCTATCACTTAACAAATATGTAGAAGGAAGTGGAGATGGGTCGGGCATACACTGAGAAGGCCGACTGGGGACATCACACGCCAGACCAATGGTTCGAGTGGAACCCAGATGGGAAACGACGAGTTGGGCGTCCGAGGGTGATATGGAGAAGATAGTGCGAGGAAGAAATGAGAGCTTGTGGGTTGTCGTGGAACCAGGTTTAAAAGTTTGCAGAGAACAGAGTGCACTGGAGACATGCTACTGAAGCCCTATGTTCCATTAGGAACCCAAGGGAAAAATAATAATAGCCGGTCTCTATTGGATTATGAGACCCTGCGCCGATACTTCGATATTTTATATTATTCATGGATAGTGGTTAGCAGTAGATTCTAGGATGGGTGCTTCCTCCTATTTGTACTTATTACATTTAAAAATTCATTGGAGTATTTTCGAACTGTTGCGCGTTCTGTAAGAAGCTTAGGAACCTTTTTTTCGATTGTATAAGTACTTAACATTCTCAATCTATTAAACGGTTGGAGAAAGAATACTAACAACTTACCAGAATACCTTGTATTCCAACCATTATTTAATCTGCGTAAATTTCTGATGAAAAAGTACCCAACATTCTAGTTTAATAAGGTTGTAAGCAATACATAATGTCTGAAGGTTAGTGATAATATTTCATTGAATAGGATGAATTTTCAAAGAATAATAAACATCTTTGAAAGTTTGGCATCTAACATAACAAACTGAAGCTTCAAATGAACGAATAAATGAAAATGCATTTAGTAGCCTTGTGTACCATCTGTGTGGTAGGTTAATGATACTACCTGGCTGCCCAAACCTTAACAGATGGAGCGGGATTCGAACCCATGAAGCTGTAAGTACTACACTGTGAGTATACAGTTTGTTTAGAAGAAGAATAATGTATATATTAACTAGAGTAGGTAAGTGCTTCTTTATACTTAACAATATAAAGATTGATAACATATTTATATACAGATACTCACTTTTAAACCATGAAATGTTTTATTTGCCTCATTTTCTGATTCTTCTTCAGAAACAGAATCATTATCAGCTTCAGAATGATTTAACTCGTTAGCGTTTTCACCCCATGGATCTGATGGTCTGATACTATAACCATCTTCATCTTTTGGCAATTCTACAGGAGTAACAGTTCGCCAGTCATCATTTTTTGATGTTATCGGATCTATTGAATCCATCATAGTGGGATAATAATAATAATAAAAAGAAATCAACAACAGTAGTGAATTAACAACATTCAGATTGAAGAATATAATATGATAACCCAGTCCACACTTTTCAGTTGAGAGTCGAATAACGTCCGTAGGTTAAGGAATATAACATGTTTGGGGTGCCGTTAAGTATTAAAGTCATTTGATTTACAATGTAAAAGTAACTGCCAGACATTGTTCCTATAAACAGAGAAGTTATACTGGGTGGTGATTGAAGGTGAAATGAAAATTTGGACCATGGCCGGATTCGAACCACTGACCACTGGGTTACCGGCCCGATGCTCTACTAAATGAGCTACGAGGTTCGACTGCTCACCAGATTTTTATTTCACTTCAATCACAAGGTGGGGTTTGCCCAACTACCATGTGAATTCGTGACATGTTTACTGACGCTTGATAGTATTCACACTGGCTGCCTAGTGAGGACTTCTCATCCCAATCGAAGTCTAACTGAATTAGAAAGGAGGGGAGGCATCACATTGATTATCATTTTGACTATCCGAGATAGCCGTAGTTTGGTAGCCAATATGGATACGATCAAGTGGTAGTAACGCGTCACGAATTTACATGCTAGTTGGGCAAACCCCACCTTGTGATTGAAATAAGATTCTGGTCAGCAGTCGGACCACGTAGCTCAGTTAGTAGAGCATCGTGCCGGTAACCCGGTGGTCGCTGGTTCGAATCTGACCGCAGTCTAGATTTTCACCTCATCTTCAATTATCACTCAGTATAAATACTAGCCAACCAAACTATCTCAGATAGTCAAATAATAAACAGAAAATTGTCAAACTTTCTATCAATACACACATTCCCTCCTAAAGTTTTCAAGCCCACCTAGCTGGATATAATTCACGTGCAGAAAATATGACTGCCATATTGATTGCATAATAAAATAGCCCTACTGAAGAGACAGAAGACAAACACGACGGTGAGAATGTTTATTGTATACAATTGGAACCGTAGTCGTTACATATGGTACACCTTGCACTAGCCCAGTTATTTGCAAATGTCTTCGTTCCCTCTTCTGTTCCTCTCTTGATTTGCTCTTGATCTGCTCTTCATACATTCTTATCAGCAGCATCCACTGTAATACACCTGCGTTATCTCTTGCGTTGCTCTTGGCAGAATCCTTACCCATTGCTGATTCCTGCCACCGTCTCAACATATACTACTTATATCCATTGTTATCAGCAACACCCACTACACTACAAGTGTTTTAAACGCGGAAAAAACTAACGTACAGTAAAGTTCCAACTTAAGATAGCCATTGGTTCATTTACTATATGCATTATGACCCGACAAGTTTCAATATCTTGACAATAGAAAACCTTCAGAAACCTTATTGACAGGCTCATGTTTTTACCGAAAGAATTAGAAAGATTTTAAAGAGTTCAGTATAAAGAATAACAACTGAAGTTGGAAGCGAACTCGTCAGCTGGATATACTTGCATCCTAATGAGTGATGTTGTTCCTATAGACATCCAAAACTAGTACTGATCGCTTTAAATGTCAAAGTATTAACCAATAGGCCCCCGGAGCATGGGATCCACTTAATAACACTTAGGACATTACCAGTAACTAAGTAAAAATACAACTAATACTTAACACTTTTTAGCTTTACAAACTAAAAGCAACAACTCTATATCAGATTCTTTATTTGATACGGGACACAGTGATGTTTCGAGCAGAATTTATCGCTCATATTTATATCTCAATAAGCAATCGTACGACTTCCAAATTGACTTCACTATCATATAGTTTAACAGTTCTTCATTCAGAGGTAGTATTTATCACGCAATGAATGACATCAGTTGGGGAACCACTGGAAACCTGGAAGAACTGGACAGCTGTTTCGTCCTAGTATGGGACTCCTTAGCAGTACACGCCAACGACCCGGCTAGGCATTGAACTAAGGACCTTCAAGTCTCACGGAGAACGTTAAGCTAATGAGTCGGTTTTCAGTGATTCACAGTTTTCAACTTCTGTCAATTCACGATATAACGCAATTATCACCCAAGATCTTCAGTTGGCATCCGCTTCCCTTCGACTGGTTGAACCCACAGGTTATGGCTTCTCATTAGAACTTCCTGATATCCATCTAGAAGCCTGTCACTAATAAGCACTATACAGTAACGTATATTTGAGATGAATGGTGATTTTTAGTATAGAGGTAGTATTCACCACGGACTGACATCATTCGTTTATTTTGATGGTAATAAAATTCTCCAGATATCTGCAATATGTATGACGAGTCATTCCTGTTACGTGTGTGTCAGGTGTCGATTCAATGAACAAAGATTCTGTGACTAGTCTGTCTCTACACCTAGCTATATTAGGTTTTACAACTGAAACCCTATTCCACAAGTTCTATAGTGTGATTATGGGTCAGTAAGATGCAGGGCGATAGTCAAGTTTTTCCTCGAAATTACTGATCTTCATCAATATGATGCTCCCCTCTCCTGTCTTATTCAGTTAAACTTCGATTCGGATGAGAAGTCCTCACTCGACAGCCAGTGTGAATACTATCAAGCGGCAGTAAACATGTCACGAATTCACATGGTAGTTGGGCAAACCCCACCTTGTGATTGAAGTGGAATAAAAATCTGGTGAGTAGTCGAACCTCGTAGCTCAGTTAGTAGAGCATCGGGCCGATAACCCAGTGGTCAGTGGTTCGAATCTGGCCACGGTCCAGATTTTCACCTCATCTTCAACCATCACGCAATATTAATGTTTCGCTAAATATTTACACTCTGCTTTTCTGATTGACACTGATCGGCTGCTTTGACCTATATACTTAACCTCACAATCATCACATGGTACTTCATAGATTAGGTTATTTTGCTTAATTGGTCCTACTGGATATTTTCTTTCTAAGCGAACTTGTAGGTTTCAATGCTACCCTAATCCCAACCAGCATTGTTAAGAATTCTACGTAAAATTTCCGATGTGGTTTCTTTATACGACAATACTATAGAGGATTTGAATTCTCTCTAACATTACCAGTCCACTTCTCTTATTCAGTCCTTATAAACCTTTTGATAAATTTCGCAGGGTAGTTATTAAGAAGTAGTCTTTTTGATGGGGTGAGATGTTGGTTTCCTATAAAGACTTGTATCTAGGCTGCCTCTCATCTTCTCTCCTTTTGCCTTTGCAATCCAACATAGGTGGTGATCCACCTTCTTCATTTTCTAACATATAAGTGAATTGGATTGCATCCACTATTGAGATAATGTGTACGAAAAAAAAAACTTCGGATATATTTTAATTTCAATACTTGTTTCTTTGTACACTACTGTGAAGTGGGACAATTTGAACCGATGCACCTGTGTACAAGGTTCTATGTTGATTTCGTCTGTCTGTTTATCTATCCACTTGTCTATCTATCTATCTATCTACCTGTCTGTGTCTAACTGTTTCTATCTCGCAACAAAAGTTGATTACTCTCTGAAAACAGCAGCTTTAACCAAAAGGTGGATGAATTAGTTAGAAAACGAAAATAGCTCTTACTTGAATTCTCGTATAAAGATTAACTTATAAATTGTTTTGTTTAGAGCCATTGAGATATGAATAAGAAGTAATAGGTACACCCCCTACCGAAAACTGACTACCAATAGGAATAAATATTCACACAAAAAGTGTCTTTCAAGGATACTATCACTTTATGAATATAGAGTATTAGAGTGTGAAGCCTTTCTTGAATACCAATGAAATAGATGAAGAATGTTTCAGAAATAAATCTACCTGATTTGTTTATTTGTTTCGTTTGTTTATCTTTGCCGTTTGAGTAAGGAGTACCGAACCGACGAATCCCACGCTTTGCAACAACAGTAAAGGCACTCAAACTATTACCACTAGTATGAATGCTGGGAATGATTCCCGTAGTAGCACCAACTGAAGTAGATGAACCCGTTGGGTTGTTATCAGTAGTATTGGGGGCAGCAGAATCTTGAGATAAAGAATTACGACGTCGACGAAAAAATCCTTCCCTACGTTTTGCAGTCCCATTACCAGAGATAGATATATTTGTTACTGAAGGCGCAACACCAACAGAAATGCTAGCCATAGAAACCACATCTGCTCTGACATCCATTAGACTATTGAGACCTGATCCCCCATTGTCTTTGCTGCCAGAACCTACAACTACAAAAGATTAAAAAAATTGAAACAATCATATCACGCTATAATGATAAATCAGAAGAAATACAATGACTATTTGCTAAATACCAGCTTCTCTCCCCCATAATGTCTGATCATGTTCTAACCCCAGAGACATATACATTTATTGTGGAGGGTATTAGTACCACACAACTACTTACTATCAATTAACAGTGAGTTTTCGAGTAGGATCTAATGAATATATACAATCTCTATACCGTTGAGCTAAGAATGCCCATAAACAAGTAACACAGAAGTCGTGATAGAAAGATGTAAAACTGTCCAATGGGGCGATATTAAACAGACAAAGAAAATGGCATACAACATGAAGAAAGCTAAAACCTTCATTCTAGAAGGTCAAATTCTAACACATTCATATACATTATTTCAGGTTGCTTATTCATCATGGACTGACACTAACTGGAGAAACAATGGGAACCTGGGAGCAATGAACAGTTGTTTCGTTCTAGAATGAAACTTCTCCCCAGTGCGCATCAATAACCCCGCCCTTCAGGGATAGAACCCAGGTCCCTCAGGTTCTACGGCCACCAAGTTACCATTGAGTAACTGGGTCGAAACTTAATCGTCTATATTTCCTACTTTTGTCACTTCATCTAATGTCATCGTTGAGTATCTGTCCTTATATCTAACTTGATTTGACCCCCCCCCCCCCAACGGTCACGACTTCTCATTAAAACTTCGGGAATCACCTCTCAAATCGAGTCAACAATGAGTAACAGAATTATTCAATTTGAAAGTTTGTGGGGATTTTATCTATTGATTTCAGTTTATTATTCATCTGCTCGAGAAATATTGGGAACTAATCCTTAATGTTTAATTAACAAAACAGCATGACAATCATCCCTATATGATTCTAAGCTTTATATGAAATACTATTTAAACGGGTCTGATAGAAGTTAACTGGACAGTTGAGTTAAAAATAAATTTATACTGCGTGATGATTGAAGGTGAAATGAAAATTTACATCGTAGCTGGATTCAAACCATCGATTACAAGATTTCCCACCCTAATGCTCTACCAACTGAACTACGAGTATAAATAATAAATCTCTGCCAAACAACGGCTATCTAAGGAAGTCAAATGATAATCAATATGATGCTTTCCCTACTCTCTAAGTCAGTTACATTTCGATTGGGATGAGAAATCCTGACTAGGCAACCCAGTGTGAATACCATCAAGTAGTAGTAACGCATCATGAATTTACATGGTAGTTGGGTAAATCCCAACCTTGTGATTGAAGTGAAGTATAAAATCTGGTGAGCAGTTGAACATCGTAGCTCAGTTAGTGGAGCATGAAGGCTCCTAGTGGAACATAGGGCTTCAGTAGCACGTTGCCACTTCACTCCTTTCTCTCCAGTCTTTTTAACCTGGCTACACGACTGCCCAGAAGCTTTCATTTCTTCCACATACCATCTTCCTCAAGTCACCCTGGACGCCTAACTCGTCGTTTTCCCTTTGATTTGAAACCGACAGCCTGGCCTGTTGCGTGAAGTCCCCTAACGGTTTTCTCAGTGTATCCCCAATCCATCTCCACTTTCTTCTGAATATTTGTTAAGCAGTAGGTTCTTGGTGCGTTACCAACCAGTGTTTTTTATCGCTTATTCTTTCCGGCCATCTGATCTTCAGTATTCACTGAATGAGCGTAGGCGGCAACTGTTCATGTATCTCTCCAGTTTGTTGGAGATCCTTTTCGTAACGCGCCAAGTCTCTCAACCATATAGAAGTACCAACTTGATATTAGTGTTGGAAATCAGGATCTTGTTCCACATGCTGAGTGCAGTAGATCTCCACAGATTATTTCAGATTAATGAAGGCCTGTTTTGCTTTTCTAAACTTGGCTTTGACGTCCTCATTTATGTCACCTGTAGCTGAGATGCTGCCTAGGTAGGTAGAAGAGATAACTTCCTTCGGATTTCTCCCGTTCATGATGACTGATGCTTGTTGTTGTTGGTTGGATATCTTCATCACCTCTATCTTCTCTATGTTCACTTGAAATCCCGTCTTCGCTGCCTCTTCTACCAACCTGTTGGTTTTTGTCTGTAGATCTTCGAGCTTGTGCGATATTGGAAGTACATCATCCGTGAAATCCAAATTTTACGTAAGGTAATTAATGGATCACCAAATAATCTAGTGAGTTTTTAAATAGAAACTATGATACTGACAATTAGAATTTTAAGCCTTATGAAAAACGATTATTAATATGCTATATTCTACGGTGTAAATTACTTGCAAGAGCAGAAGCAGCTCTGGTTTCGCGACCAAAGAAAGCCTCTAAAACACGAACACCACTTCCTGTTGTCCCATTGGTTCGTTCAGTTCCATTTGACGAAAACGCAGCAGCTACCTCTGCATCTTCAAACTGTACACCTTGTGGTTCCAGAGTTCCTGTACCTCTTTCACTAACAAGAATATTTAACAATCTGTCAGTGGTCAACTCAGCCAAATCTTGTCCAAACTGACTGTGTAATTTCCCTAAAGCATCACCTGTAACAGACCAAACTGATGCATATCGATGCAAAAATTCTCTCATCTGCTCCAAATGTGCAGCTTCAATTTCCTAGCAAACCAAAAAAATAGAGAAAAAAAATGCTGATCATTAGAAAAAATCTTATCAAACAACTTATTATATCAACTAAAACATGTTTAGAATACAAATTAGCAATGGCAAAATGTGAAAGTTGAGGTTTTAAAACATGACACCCAAGTATAATCAGTCTACGCAATTCACTGTAAGCAGGATAACTAGATGTGTCGTACATGATATCATGGATGGTAATATTTAGCAGCACCCAGCTGTTTTGCTGTAGACAGACTTTTAAATGTGGTTAGCAATGAAGATGAATAAACTCTGATGATTGTGCTACATTACGAATTGAAAAAAAGTTGAAAACTGTAAACCAATGGAGTTTCATGAAGTCTGAAGGTCCTATTCAAGAGCTTTTAACAATTTCTGTAAACACCTAAAAATGATTTTCAATTCAACTGCGTTAAGAGGCTGATAACGGTAAGGATGAAGTGCTTGTCAACAAAGTTCAGCGAAAACTACCATTAAAAACGTATCTGATTTCGTTCAAGTAGAAAAATCACAAGTATTCTGACATAAAAATTGACCAAGATTAACAGTGTTAGTCCAGTCAGCATCAGTTTCGAAAGTAAGACTGACTCCTGTTAGCCTAATGGGTTCACTACACTGCTTATAGCTCACATTCTCTCAGCATTCATCCAACTAAGAAAGGTATCCTGAAATCACGAATACATGCCGTTTATGCCGTAAGTGTGAATATCATTATACTTACAAAATTATAGGTTGTTATGAAGCCAAAAATCAATTTATATGAAAGCTTCAAAGTATTTCACCGAAAAACATCACCTTCAAATTCCGAACCACCATGTGAGCAATACGGAGGTTTCAATGGAATTTTAATCCAGGTGGCTTGGACATATGTTGTGCATATCAAGCCACCACCGACCTCGACGTCCGATGCTAGGTGAAGTTGGATTAAATTGGAAGAGGGTTCAGAGTGCCCAGACTAAGACTTGACACCAGTCCATAAAGTCTCTGACTGTTGGTCTGAGCCATATGAAGAGTGGGGTCGCCGAGACGACAGGAATTAGTGATTAAAAACTTCTGATGAAATGGTTGAAAATCGGTGACAATTGAACAGATCTGTGCACTCTTTGATTTCTTCTAAAGCTTGGGTGTTTTGACTAACCCTCTCCCGCTAGACTTCTTTGTCTACTCTGATATGTTCTATCTTACTTATTCTTTGTATACTACTGTGAAGTCTCGTAACGAACCGGTGCATATATGTGCGTTGATTCTATCTTTCTGTCAACATATGAGAAACATTTTCACACACTAAACCTGCTTTCTAACAAAAATCCTAGAATTTAAAAGAAGCAACAGTAAGTCTACGTTTCGCTTGCAGATGGCAATGTGGTCAAAATTCATCTGATGGTGAGCAACTATTAATTTGACGATCACACAATGTAACAAAACAAAATCAACTCAGAGCACCTTAAGCAAGGTATCTTAACAGACAGGTAGATCGAGGTGTTAGTGAGGTTAAAAAACTGCAACAATTTGATTGGTTTAGATATGCGCTACTTATGTGCATTTAGTATCCACTACACTTTCCAGTTCTAACAACACTTAAAATAGGATTCGAATAGAATTAAACTGCACTCAGTAACCAAATGCACATTTTTGGAATAGGTGGTAATGAGTCATACCTACTGTGTAAGGGATATAAACACCACCCCGTGACTGCCGTAACCTTCGTAGGTGGAGCTAAGTTCAAACTCGTAACCTAATGGTTGAAAGTTGAGTGTCTACACTAATGAACCATAGCTCTAAAAGACTAAATTTTGACTCAAACTCTGTATAAAATATATGTTTTTGGCTTATGAAAACAACAAATCGCTGAACAATAAGATTAACAAACTTGAACTTTCCTGGTAAATTCCTTTAAAAAGTATTTGAGGAAAACTATTCCAGAAATAAATAGCTTTTCAAGTTCTAATGTTAAGTTAGTTAGTAGATATGCTGATGCATTTATAGAAATAGTTGTGATAATTCATTTTCTTATTGTAGTTAGCATTATCAGACAAAACATTATGAATTTACTCATTGAGCTACAAGAGAGAGTGCTGATTCACTCACAGAAATAGGCAGATTTACCACATTTCTAACTAGAAAACTTAAATTTATTCTAACAACTTTCTCGTATAACTGCTGAGGAGTCCCATACTAGGACGAAACAACTGTCCAGTGCTCCCAGGTTTCCTTTGTTCCTCCAACTGATGTCAGTCTTCGATGAATAACAACTTGAAATATTTCCAAATCTCCACAACCCCCTTCAATCCAAAAAATTGAAACACTCGACAGCCTGTGTAAACTTGAAGCAAACAATGTTACTGAAACTTAGTATATGTTGACTGAAACTAATTGACTCTCACTAATACCCATGAATTGATTAAGAAATTAGTCTATGAATAAATTCAAACTGAATACTGAGATACATCTGTAAAATGATAAAGTCTGTATCCATGAACAATACAATGTTAGCCAATTAACTACAAGAATAGTAAATTATAAACTGTACTGTAAGTTTACATTACCTCGAATTGTGCACATGAAATGTGCATTTTACTCACAAACTGATTGCGAAGATTGTTATATTTTTCTACTGAATACTTATATTCATCTTGAGCTTTTTTAAGTTTAACCTCTAATTTTTCTTGTTCTCGACTAGAACCAGATTCTAGGCGCATAGCACGTTCATATTCATTATAACGTGAATGATATGCTTCTTTAGCTTTCTGAAGTTGCATAGAAGTTATCTAAATAACGAATAAAAGAATAATTTTTTTTCACATCAATAATTACATGTTGACTTTAATACGATCTACAGAAAACCTTAACAAATTAACTTCTTAACTCATAATTAGAAAGTGAGAGAAGAGCACTAAAAAGGAAATGATGTAGCAATAGTTTTTAATTTGAAATCTGCAAATGACTTTTCCTACCAACTAAAACATTATGGCTAAGAAGAAAAGTCAATAGATAATAAAAACGTAGTCTTGTTAGACGTTTATATATATATATATATATATATATATATATATATATATATATATATATCACACAGTCCAGAATAGTCATCAAACAGGTATATATGTTTATCAATGACAGTAACCTATAGAGCCAATGGTCTTTGGTCTGAATAAATTTTAAGAGACAACTAAATGGTTAAGATATTTTAGATGTTAGGCATAAATAACAGATGAAAATTGAAAGCAATAGAGTATTTCTCCATTTCTTTAAATATAGATTTCAAACATCTTATTGCTATCTTATTACCACCCCAGGGATTCCTTTTTCCCTTATGCATACTTTCGCTGTGTTGTTATTACTTGAAACTTGCTAAAAATCTAGAATTCAGTGTTCCAAACAAAAATGTCTTGTAAGGGTAACCACATAGCTGTTCAACACAAGTACTGTGTATTAGATAACATCAACAGATTATCCCATCTAAAAAGAACACAAACAAGAAAGAAATATACTGCTGAACAACATGAGCGGTTAGAAACTATTAATACTGGACTGTATATTTTAATAACTAGGTCAGTGACCCAAACACCAGACAGCCGTTTTGCTTATCTGGAACAAAGCTCATCAGTGGTGTACCCGGACAAATTTAGCTCACAGAGCTTAATTGTTCAAACCAAATGAACCTGGCTAGCTGACTTCGATCAACCGATATACCTTAAACATGAAGATTAATTTGAGAATTATTTACAGTTTGTATGGTTCCCGTTAACACTTTGCATAGCTAAACGGTTAATTTATCGACCGCTCGCCTATGGTGCCAATGAAGTTTGTGTTGAAAACCAGACAGCCAAAACCATAAGGTTTGATATGTGACAGCGTCATGCACTAAGCGAATATACTAGTGGATAGAATGAGTAGTTGGAAACCGATCAGGCTAACCTACAGACTTCGCTAGCCCTACCGACACCATATCACGGCAGCTAGAGTAATAATTTTCTAATGTTGAAGAATGATAGCGTTGATTATCCCATTTAAGAACAGGAGCAAGCCCACAAACTTAGCCGTTTCTGTGCTTATAAGGTGTGGCAGGCTATTTTTACAAGAATCGACAGACAGAAGTCAGGTAGTACTTAGTAGAAAGCTAGTAATATCGATCACTAATGATCGTTACCTTTGTGAAGGAAAGGTATTTGTTATGAAATGTTAAGTATTCCAAAACACAGTTTCTTACGCCATAAGTAAACAATCCATGTGCTCCTAAAGAAAGTCTTACCTTCTCATAGAGTGAATTTTACAGACAGGATATGAGATTGCTGGGTAAGGGCTCAAATTGTCACAATTCACATAAACATAGGTCAACAAGAAAGATTTTTACAAAACAATAGAGAAACCAGAAGTTTTAAAAAGTCACAAGACAATGTACTATTTCTTTCTCTGTTCAACATTTCTTGATAAATTGGATGTAGATCAAATGTGAAGGCATCTGTCATTCTGAGTGATTCTGTATCGGACCAATCAATTTAGCTGTTATGCGTACACCAACGAAGAAGCTTACATTTTTCCACAAGATTCAGATTTAGTAAATAAATTTACTGACTAGTGGCACTTTCTAGTCTCGAAAAACTTAGCCTTTTTTAACCCAACCCTACTTCATATGAAATTGTGGTTTGCAGTGGACAATAGCTCAGCGCCCATAACACATAACAGTGAATTCATTCAGCGTATATCCATAATGCTATTAACCGAAACGTTTACTTTCCTTAACATTTCACGGCGCGGTTTGATCATAAGAGACTGGTGAGACGAAGGAAAAGGTGGCCGGTTCTCTCATATGCTAACTTTATGGACCCATTTTTAAAGGCACACAACATAACAGAGTATACTGTTGGCTAGTTCACATACCTAATAGGTGGTTGGATATTCTACCGGCTCTACAAGAGGCAGGAGTTACAGAAATCAAGCTAAACCTTTTGTATTCATGTCGAGTTGATAATGCCCACCAAGTAACCAGGACTGATGTTTTTTCGGGAAAATAAAATAGTCACCGTGACCAACAGATTCAATCCTTTTAGTCAGACAGATCATTAATACAGATTAGTCCTGAAGAATCAATTTGCTTTTTTAAGAAGAAAAACGCATCTCAAATGTTGCTAAGCTATTATTGTGCTCATAAGATTCTACATATAATCAGTAACTTTGTCCAGGATGACCATGTCATCTGTGTACTCGAAATCGAATAAAAAGTCTCCAGCAAGGAAATTCATTTATACCAACTCAAGAAAGTAAACGGTGAACTAAAAAAATATGCCTACGGGAAAGTTGAAAAATGAATGAACATAGCTGATAGCAACTACTCGATGTATACACATCTTCAAACAATGGTTGCCCCAGGGTCTGCAATTATTATGAATGTTCTGTATCAAAACTTTAATAAAGTCATTCGCACCTACTTCAGTGAAAGAAATCACCATAGGCTTTTAATGAAAGAAGTCAAATGCTATCGTCAAACCAAGAAAGGAATTACGCCTCAAATATCAAACCTCTGGTTACTTAGGTTACTATCCACCTTTAAAACAATAATACTTTAGATTAGATGTCCACACAGTCCTTTAGATACTTGTAACATAGCCCGAACAACTAAACTCAAAATATGTGCAACTGTGTGCAACACAGCATCACATAGGAAGTGCATTTTAGCAGCGAAAAGACAAAGTAGGTATCAAAGTTAGACGGCAAGTAAAATCCTAATTTGGTCAACATAGCACGTTGAGGTTGTTGATGGGTCGAGACCTGCAACGCAACATTAAACCGACCGAAGATATCCATTAAACTACTACGTCAATCAAATACAAGGTGATGGTTGCATTTAAATTCTAGTTCACGTATTATCTTGTGTATTTTAACTACTTGGTAACATGCCGGGTACTTTTGGTCACCAAGTCACTTCAATCACTGTAGATTCACAAAATCCTACTGATCTGCTATTCTTATTTAGTACAATACGCCCAACCTCAGTATTGTTGACTGTAAGATTTCCACTTCATACGAATAATTCTAGTAAAATACGTGGTCAAAACCTGACGCTTTTTTACACCTATTTTTAGATGTCGTTTTACAGCCGTGTAATTGAATATAAAGAATTGGTACACAGGATACTCGTTTTCTGATAGATAGTCTGATGTCTCGCCAAAAAATTTTCACAGGCTCTTAATATATCTGGATAATTTTACTAAAGTTTTTGATGTTCCGACCGTCTAACAGTTTAAACTAGCTTACTAAAGCAATGCGGATGCTAAATAAACAGTAACATACAATCTAACCGCTTTAATCACTGAAGTTCTACGATTTTACTACATCTACTAACATACATCTGACCTTAACGTACAGCTCCGAATCACTGATCGAGGTATTTAACTTCTATTGGAAATTTCGCCCATAAATGCTTAGATTTTCAAGTATCTGGTGTGAGTGGAATACTTGCTGATTGATAGTTAGTAAAATCACAAAAAATATGTAGACAATGGAGAATTTTAATGAGCAGAAAATAAATACAAAACTAAAATCCCTGACCGACTGCACTCGGTACTGTAAGTGATGATTCGTAAATACTGACAACCATGCCAGTGAATAATTATATAACCAAATGAAATAGAGTAGTTACCGTATGTAACCAATTCAAGGACCATGAACTACTTCGATCGACATAGATTCAACAATATTCCTAAACGTCCTAAAGATACTTAACTGGGACTTTATAAGTCACGATATTGTTTTTTATGTATGCTGCTACTTATTCATTTTACATTAAATGCATTCATCCTTAAATCTATTAATAAACAGCCTCATTATACGCAATAGTTCAAAAGTATCACAAAAGCATAGGCGGATCACAAACAGGTGAATATAAACTCCCTAATCCGTAATAGGTTTTGAAGGTAGCATTAAAGCAGCTCAAGCGACAGAAAGAAAATACAACAAGATTCCTTGGGACCTGTTATTAACAAAGATAAAATAAAAAAGAGAGACGAGGTCGATAAAATCGACACCTCGATGTAAAAAACATTGAATGAGTTACCTGGAAAGCATGTACAACCTCCTGTGTAGAAGCTTCTGTGTCTTTTATTAGCTTCTGACGTTTGTGCTGCTCTTCTAAATACTTTTGTACATCCCTTGACAGGTTTTGACGTTCTTGAGCAATGTTCAGATGAACTTGAGAGATCTGGTCTATGAGCTGCTTCAGAAGAGACCAACAGGGCTTGAAGCTGCTAGTGGTATTGTAAGATCCCGCTTGCTTGGACAACTTTATCAGTGCTTTGTAATAATTGTCCTCTGCAGAATAACTCTCTCGCAAGAATTCAGCGAACTCTGCTGATGTACGATAACATAACTTGAAGTTCTGGTACATAGCATCAAACCCTGAATGCTTTTCTCCCCAAAAATGTTGAGCAAATAAACATGTGCTCATCTTGACGAGACAGTATATGGTAAAAAAATACAGTAAAGCTAACACCTCATTTTAGTTTACTTTCATCGAAGATGACATCAAGTTACTGTGACAAGCTCAGTCAACATAAAGTATTAGTAATCACTCAACAGGCAATCCTGTAATCCAATGAGTCCAGTTGAATCGCAGTGAAGTAGCGACGTATTTAAACCGGGCCCGTCCAACGCCCAATGCTAGTTTTCAGTTTTCGGTAATAAGAATAGTAAGCCAATTACTGCTCAGCATGGCTTTCGGAGTGGTCGGCCATGTGCCACCAACTTACTAACCGCCTGAGATGACTGAACACTAACCTGGGATAACAGAAAACCGGTACATGTTGAATTTCTCGACCTGGCCGAAGCATTTGACAGTGTCCCACCCACAGTACTGCTTCACAAGATCATGTCAGCTGGTATAAGTGAACCCCTACTCTCTTGGTCCAAGAAGTACCTGTAAGGGAGGCAGTTCAGCACCAAAGTAAATAGAATAAGGTCGGAGTGGAGACCATCGACGTCAGGACCACTTCTGTTCCTCCTGTTTGTCAACGATCTAGCAGACAAAATATCCTCACCCATCGTCCTCTTCGCCGACAACATTAAAATTTGGAGGGTGGTAAACGAAGAAGCTGACTGTACAGCGCTACGAAAGGACTTGCAGCAACGCGAACCCTGGTCGTCAGAAAATGGCCTGGGCCTCAACCTGGAAAAGTGCAAGGTAATGCACATCAGTAAAAATGAGGCAAGTACGACCGACTTCCAGTACATGTTGAGCAACCGTGTTATCACCAGAGTGTCCATGTAAAAAGATTTGGAGCTCAACTTCTCCTACACCTTGGACACCAGCTCCAACTACAAAGGTATGACAACCAGTGCGAATGCCATCCTACAGTTTTTGCGTAGACAGCTTGGCCCCTCACCCCCGAACTCTTCCTCACCATTTTCAAATCCTACGTGCGGCCGCATCTAGAGGTCTTCAATACGGTGGCTCCTGCAACACTCAAGAGATACTCTAATCTCCCCGAAAGAAAACAAAGAACTGCAACAAAATCAGTTGTGGGCTAAGGGGAAAACGTATCCTGAAAGACTTAAACACCTCAACCTATTTACCTTGGGTTACCATAGGAAGAGGGGTGACCTTGTTATGGTCTACAAGATCGCCCATCAGGCAGACCATGCAAACAAATCAATTTCGCCTGCAACTCAGAGGTCTCCACGAGGTAACCCCATTGAGGTAGCACACCAGAGAGCCAACAGCATACTCAGGTCCAAATTTTTCTCCCTAGGGGTATGTGCTTTATGGAATGCCTTACCGTGACACATCGTTATAACTCCCTCAGTCGACTCATTCAAGAGACGATCAGACAGTTATGTCACCTCGCATGGACTACCATGGAAGTACTCAAGTGGTCACCAACCTCACTGGCCCCCAACTCCCTCCTAACTACCACTCACTATCTCCCTCCTCAATACACCCACATTACCCACTAATTCTTCTGCAGGAACTAAACCGACGTGGCCATTCGAGCAACCCCCAAATATTTTTCTTTCGTCCTTATTTCTCTTTTTCACCCCTCCTTTTTTCTCCTTCCTTTCTTTTCCCTCTTCTCTTCCCTTATTATTATTTCTTCTTTCTTCTCTCTTCATTCTTTTACCACTACCTTACTATTCTCTTTCAGATACCTACACAGACAGGAGTCACGGCAGTTCTCTAAACTTCCTAGCAACCCGTAACTTCCCAATCACTCTACAAATTACAACTTACTAACCCACAAACATCCACCTCAAGAAGCTAAAAACAAGAAAGCAGAGGGGATTTCCTCGTCCACTGCAGGAGTGAACCGAACAGCTCGAACCAAACCCTAAGAACTACACGTGAGAGATCAAAAACTACCAGTTTTCTACGCTCGCACTATCAATATTGGATATCGGGTTGGAATTAGTTTGTCTTAATACTTGCAGCCATCGGCTATTGAAGTGTCACATACATTCTGTTGGAGATTCATTTCAGTTCGTGAAGTACCGTTCGAAGTCTAAGTACTGTTGTAGAATTTATCATACCCTTGCTGCTGACGGGTTTAGCCAGCGTAATTTGGAGATGCCGCTCTTTTCCTTCCTTCAGGCACAAAAGTCTTGCCTTTGACTTATGTCGCACTTAAAGATGTCGTTGCGGAGGGCATTTTCACAATTGGCGCAGGATTCATCAATCCATACCGATCCCTATAATCCAAGTTTTTAAGCTCAAACCACTAACTGTTTGAAAGAGTGGTGATAAAAGCAATGTTACTACAGGCATCGGTAGTAAAATTAGTGGGAGGATAGGACAAGAAGATAAGACACCGTTCTCAACTACCACTGGACACTTGTCAGGTGATTCTCCACATATGTTCAACAGGTTTAGCTGTGGGCTACAGACGCATCTCTAGGACAAATAGGGACATTCACTGGAGGATGATTTCTGAGGAGAACCAAAAATCTGAGAAATACGGTAGTTTAGGTAACAAATAACTGCTGATTGACAACCATTTGTCAGGTCTTGCGGGGTAGAATTTCCGGATTTTTCCACTCGGACTACAAGTTAACCACCGAGCGGTTATCCAGTGTGAGATTTTTGGCCAGGGATGGGTTTATTTTACACTGGTGATCAGATGAGAATTTCTAGAATCGTGCCATTAATGAATTATTCTTGATTCGCCCTGTCGAATTCGGAATAATCCCATGTAAGGACGATATGATAGTTCATATCGCCATTTGATCTTCACCTAGATGTTGTTAAAGACGCTCTTCATTTCAGTACTTCTGTACTTTCAAGCTACTTGCTGTAAAAATTGACTGCCATGGCTTTTTACCAGTACGTCTGCATCACCGCAAAGTTTAACTTTCACATAATATCTTACGTTACCGTTCCGGTCCTAAGACCCCTAATTATGAAAACCTTGTAAGCTACATTATGCAGTGATTCAAGTAGTAACGCTGTATGCAGTGCTTACATGTTTAGGTACATAGTCTTACGTAGACACTACAGCACAGCCTACCTGCATAGATTAAAAAGGCTGGCCGAGCGGAAATAGGCAGCTAACGCTTGTTGTTTTTATCCCCGGTGCGTAAGTCTTCAAATTAGAGACTCCACACACAGCCGGCTCATTTATTTCAGCATATTAGCACAATATTACCAATGTATGACCCCCACGTAGTTATCAAAATGCGTTCTTTCTTGGTCTTGCGACCAAGGGTTTTGCGACAAGCTCAACAAATTAGAATTCTGACTAAGTGACTTTTCGGATGGAAGAAAAGCAATAAAAACTTGGAAGAACTGAGCCTCATTTCATACTAACCGGTTTTCTTACCGTAATGATGCTACTTGAGGTCTTTAACAGAAGTGTGGCTTCCAGGTAGACAGCACTCATTACCTCAGGACTCTTAGCTGATGTCAGGCCGCTTTTCCAAGGCATCAGAATCAAGAAACATAGTAATTTTAACGGGAAGCGAATTCGCCTTGTGTACATAGCTTGACTACAAAACGTTCCTATGGACCCTGTGATTGAGGTTGAGAAGCATCCGTTAGGACTGGGTGACTATAAACCATGTAACGCACGATAACCGTTAATTCCTATCCATTTGTAACGCTCCGGCAGAAACCAGCTACTTCCTGCTCAAAACCTTTATTTATGCACTGGATCTTGGAACTCATTTTATTGTACATTTTGACGACTCAGTGAGTCGTTAAAATTTGACTCTAATTGTGTAACTTTGTCTTGTCCGCACTGATGTGACGTAGCCATTCAGACGGGGATTATCTATGGTGAGAGATCACTTGGGCTGGTTTCAACTATTGAACAGAAGGATACTGAAATATACCCTTTGAATAGGTGCACGAGATTAGCCCAGAAAAAGCTCGAATATCTTCAGCAACCCACCCCTAACTCTCTAGGCTCAGTAGACTGGTAAACGGGAAGGCGTGTCATCATGAATCGAAGCCATCCACCCCACCGTCGCGCCAAATAAAGCTGCCCGAGTATCCCTCGTTCAAATTAGAAGTATCCGCGCATTAAGTTGAGTGTCTTTAAACTTCTTAAAATAATTTAATAACCAAAAGCTATATTTATGCTTCGGTCCCGAGAGTTTACCACTTGTGGCACGCGTAAAACAGACTTTCGGCTGTCGCTTTTGGCCCATGCATCCAGATCACTAACCTACAAAACGAAAACGACCTAAACTTTCTACTGTTTAGGATACGAACTAAAGTGAGTGCAAACTATCAATAATAAAAGTTGTAATATGGAGCTTGGACCCTGAAGTCCAGGCACAGCATAATTTCAACGTAGTTCTCTGGCTTGGTAGAACAGTGTTAGGCCTTCACTATCTTTAGCTCCCACGTTTCAGGCCAAACCCCAAACATCCTAGAGGCAATAGCCTACTTCTAAATGGGAGTTTTTCATCTGACCTTCCAGAACACTACAATCTACGTGGCCATGAGTATAAACTTCAACTTGTTCGCAGTCGTACTGGACTACTCTAATTTCTTCACTGTTAAATATATGGAAGCATGTAGTATGTCGGTATGCAGTGATGCATTACCTTGGCCAGCAGTATTGCCATGTAAATTCTCTGAAAATAACCCTGAACTGGAAACCCACGATATTATTTGGCGCTCATTTGGTACAAATAACTAACAGCCATGAAACCCCAGAATTTCTTTTTCTGGTGAATAAGACTGACGTGGCAAAGTTGAATCTGTACGCTTCTTTTTCATGTGGTTCTTGACCGTTTCAACTTGCGAATTTCCTGCCGTGCCTGACTACTTACCGCCATATATTTATAGTAACATTTAAATCTATCTCAAAGGCTCAGTCATCTCAGTGCTCTTTTGTGTGATAGAAGCATTGTTACTCCGCGTGCCACAGATCTCGATGAACTGGTGTGCCCCACGCCCTTTGTCAGAACTGAAGACACCATATCGGTCACGCGTAACAGTATTAACGACCA